GAACCCAGACCTAGACCAGTGGTCATTGAACGTTGAACTGAGACATTTATTTTCTAAACATAACGTCCCAGTGGCATTCAAACCCCAAAAATACATTACGGCAAAGACTGGTCCATCCCAAAGATCCAGTCCCCCGGCACAGGGTAATATTGTGTATGCTGTTCAGTGCCAGGAGAACTGTGATTAGTTAAACATCGGGGAAACTAAACAGCCACTGACCAAAAGGATGGCCCAGCACAGAAGAGCAACATCATCAGGCCAGGACTCTGTGGTCTACACTCATCTCCAGACCAGCGGTCACTCTTTCAGGGATGAAGATGTTCACATCCTGGACAGAGAGGAACGCTGAGAGAGGAGTGAAGGAAGCCATCTAGAGAAACCGTCCATCATTAAACAGGGGCGGAGGCCTCTGCGTCCAACTGTCACCCTCTTGTGCTGTTACTTCTAGTATCACTCAGCCCTCTGTGAATAGCAAGCGGCCATCAGGGCACTAATGCTCTATTGTTAGGTTGATGGTCTTCCTTTTGCATGTGAACAGCAAGTTTTGGCAGCAAACTGGTTGATCCACAAAAGGTTCTATTTATAAGATTGAGTTTTGTCGCAGCTCCAGACTGAAGAATTAATTTGGATAAAAGTCTAAACATTTCAACAAAGAATCTGAGAACCAGACTTAACCTTGTTAGATTTATTTGTCTGGATTATTGAGCTTGCATCAGAATAGAAATCATACAAATTTCCTTGGATGTCTTTAATTTGTCTGTGAATCTGGTTTTCTTAACCACTTTCATTTAGAAAAGCATACTTTTTAATATGTTTTTAACTTTTATAAGGAGGGCCCTGAAGGAATGCATATCGCCCGCCACCATTAATGCCAGAGTTTTGATCATTATGTTGAGAAATGATGGCGTTGTAGCCGTTTTGGTCAAACTTTGTGAGTAATCAAGGTTCATGCTCAATAATCCAGGTAAAAAAAAAAAATCCAATAATGTTCAGTCAGGTCATTTGTGAATGTTATTCATGACGTGGAAAGATGTCACTCAAGTGTTGTGAATGACTCTCTGCTACTACCACACCAAACCTCAGCTCAACATCTGTCACACTGACTGGGTTATAGCTGTTTTTGTGTTGGGGGATGTAGAATAGCTGTAGCCATTTTTTCACCAGGTTGACTCCAAAAGTTATTCAGCAGTTATTACTTTCTAAATGTTTCATTAAAATCTGTGGAGTTGTTCAGGAAATATTTTGCTAACAGACAGTTGACTTCACATAGGTAATGGCAAAGTTAAAAACAAAAGAAAATCTATAAATTTGGTTTCAGTGTATGTTTATTGGAAAGGCTGTCGGCTACAACAAAGCAGCTTCTAGTTTCCACAGAAAATTTTGATCCATTTTACTTTTGTCTTTTCATTTTCTAAAATGTTTGCAAATGATGCACATTTTATTCAAAAGACGGCACCAAATTTTGCCAGATTTCCTCGGTTTGCACATCTACATTTTATTAAATGTTTGCATGAAATTTAGTTACTTATTTAATGTTTATCAAATGCTTTGAGCATAAAATCAGCTTCACACAGCCTCCCTTCTCAAGGTTCTCTCTAATTAAAGGGATTTTAAGGGCTATAAAATGACTCAAGTGTGTGTGTTTTTCCGGGACACAGCAGGGCAGTTTAGTCAAAAGACGGAATGGCCTGGAGACTGGAAAAAAAAAAAAAGACAGAAAGAAAGGCGAGCTAGCAGGGCAAAGGTGAAAGAAGACGAGAGAAACTGTGAAACAGAAATGGAAACTAAAAGATCTAAAGAAAAAGCGAAAATACCTACATTTTGAAGTTGTGTGTGAAAGCTGAGACGAAAGGAATTTTGAATGACGTGAGATTGAGCCACTCAGCTTCTTTGATTCTAACCGAAGTCAGATGTTTCCTCATGAAATTCTTTAAACAGCGCAGTAAATATGCTGTTTGCCTCAGTTGATTAAGAACCGCCCTGGTCAAATTATACCTACCGGTAGTTTGAAAAGGGCTAATCTTTGTGACATATGAAGGTCAACCAAATTAGAAGATTTAAGTCACAACTTTGTGAAAAGTGCAAATAGGGATAATCATTAGAAAATTGTTTGTTGTATTGTCTTGACTCTATGGTAAATGGACTATATAGCTCCTTTCTATCTTCTCAAGACACTCCAAGTGGTTTACAACACAACCAGTGTCCTCATTTACCCGTTCATACAGCACTCTACTAGATCTCTACAAAGCTAATTGAACAAATCATTCTAAAGAGACTAATCAGTGCTTTTAGATCACATTCATACACTGACGGGACACACATCGGAATCAACGAGGGGTTCAGTGTTTTGCCCAGGGACACTTCAGCATGTGACTGCTGGTGGATTCAAACCCCCAACTCTTGCATTGGAGGACGACTGCTCGAACCACTCAGCCACAGCCGCCCATGTCGCCTATGGGGGGACAGAGTTTAAATACCAAGTAGAACATTAAACACGTATCGTTCCTTGAAGCACTGCATATCGCCCGCCGCCTTTCATGCAAGAGTTTTCGACTTGGACCATCTTAAACTGGGCAGCACGGTGGCACAGATGGTAGAGATGCCACCTCTCAGTGAGCAGGTCGCCCCAGTTCAAATCCCAGCCGGGGGCCTTTCTGGATGGAGTTTGCATGTTCTCTCCATGCATGCGTGGGTTTTTTCTGGTTTCCTCCCACAGACCAACAACATGCATGTTAGGCTGATTGGTAACTCTAAATTGTCCCTAGGTGTGAGTGAGAGTGTGAATGGTTGTTTGTCTCGTTTGTCTCCATGTGTCCCTGCGATGTACTTGAAACATGTCCAGGGTGTACCCCGCCTCTCACACAGTGATCGTTGGACATGGGCACCAGTGGCCCCCGCAACCTGAAAAGGAAGAAGTGGGTAAAGATAATGGATGGATGGACCATCTTAAACTGAGCAATGGTTGAATTATAGCTGTTTTGGTTAAACTGCAGTTATTTTTGATCTCATGCTCTACGGCAACATAACGTGTGATCTGCTAGTGCTTCGACTGTTGGTGATTGTCAGCTACTACCAAACCACATTTTATCTCCGTATCTGTAAAATTCTCTGAGCCATATAGACATTGTTGTGTTCTCTAAGACCAGTTGGCTGTGATGGCCATCTTCGATCAAATTCACACAAAAAGTTATTGAAATTCTTTAAAAAAAAAATCTGTTCATCTGATTAATGGGATGTTTCGCAAACGGAACGGACAAAAATGCAAACGGGCCAAAAAAAAACCCACTTTTGAACTTTCAATAAAAAAATTCAGTCATCATTTTGTTCATCTGATTAAATATTACCGTAATATTAAGATGTTCACCTGAAAGTGTCATGGGGGAATGACGGGGCATTAAAGGGTAAACATAGGTTTTCAAAAAGGGTTCAGTTGCTGTAACTTTGGTTTAATGCCCCAGTGACCAAACATCTGCTTTGTGTGTGTGAGGCAGTGTGTGACTGCATGCCAGAGGAAGTTGCAAACAAGAATGTCTGGTTTTTTTTTTGTTTTTTTTGTTCAATATGCCATCTGCAGTCTGACCCTTTGGTTTACAAAAGTGGTTGATTCATGCTGCCGTTTCTTCATGTCTGTAAAACTCAGCCGTGTGTGTGTGGGGATCTTTCATTAGTCATGGTCGACGCATGAATCGTGGAGGTATCACTGCAGCTTTTGGTTCCACTTTTCACTCTTGTCACATTTTACAAGTGGTTCTTCGTTACTTCTGTAAAAGCAAGTTTCTCGTTTCCCATCCCAGTACGTGCGATCCAGTCAAATTTTGCTTAATATTACTAAATTTAGGAATGCTTCAATTACTGGTAATTGAAAGTGAATTAAAATGCACATCATTTGCTTCTTGTTGGCCAACAATATGCTGCTGCTATGAAGTTGGAACATGCCAGCATTGGTACATTTTTGTTGTGGACATTTCTGATGATTGACGAAGACTCACCGTTTGCTATTTCTAATATCTGCAGAAGACAACAGGTGTTGGAGGCTATTAAAATATTTTCTACTTAAATTTGTGAGCCATATGAATCAGAATGAGCGCAGGCTGAAGTGCAAAAAAATTAGATTTTTGTTTTAATTGAGATTTGTGTAAAACTGAGTCTATAAAGGCACCATCCATCAATCCTAACTAAATTAATAAAACCTTTGTAATTTACCTTGTTAAATTGAAGTGTTTTTAGCAGGACAGTCTTTAGAAGTAATCTTTTTAATTTTAGTCCTTTTAATTATCTTTAAATTGTACTTTTTTTTTTGCTTGCTGCCATAGTGCCAGGAAATCCCATCGTGTAATAGCATCACTGTAAAGCTTAGAGTCCCCTTTTTTAATATAGGGCTAGTAATCCCAGTGACATCATTATAGAACAATAAAAATCAAGTTTTAAACCAGAAATTTTGTAAACAGAATTAGCTTGTTGCCAGGTGATGCATCACTAAAGCTTTTGAGACAGATTTGAAAATAACTCCATATTGAAAAATTTTTAATTGACCCATTCAGCCAGCACGGGTCAAATGTGCCGTGTACAGAGTCAAATTTTCTGTTTATTTAGAAAATCTATTTGTACACACTTTCTTCACAGATAAATTCAAATCGACAGGTCAGAGCTTTACCAACAAAATTGTACTATCCTATATGAATTAATTCATCCATTCATCTATCGGGAATTAAAATAAATATGAAGAAAAGCTGTTTGTTTTTTTTACCGGGATGATGGATAAATAGGTGTTGATCAATCGTCCCATTAAGAAACATATTTTCTTTATGCATTTCCTGGGAAAATGTCACCGATATCTATTCCTTTTAATTAACAAGGGCTCTGAACAGTAAAAATCAATTTGAACGTGCTGTTTTCCTGGCTTAAATTAAATTGTGTGACAATATCATAGTGATGACATTTCACCAGCATGTGTAAATTTGTGGTTTGTGTTTGTGGCAGTGTGCGTATACTCTGATGTCATGGCAGAGCTCCCGTCTGGACTGCTGGAGGCATGTGTAGTGGTGGGGGCTCCCAGTGATAAGCTTCGTGACGTACATCAAGTATGTATGCACCAAATCTGACTCATAATGCTGGATGGTAATCTAGAGCAGGGGTTCTCAAACTTTTGTGTTCAGAGACCACGTACAGAGGAGAAAAAGTTTCAGGGACCCCCTCATAACCCTCATGTTTATTAAATAATTTTCTTCAATTTGTCTCTTAAATGCAGTGGAGATATTTGTGGAACATAAATACATAAAACCTGTTCTTTAATAGTGTTAATACAATTTTTATACTTTTAAACATGGGCTATTTTTCATTCAAGACACACATAATTAAATAATAATAATAATTTCTACTTCCAAAAACGACAATTTTAAGAAAATTAACAGAACCAAAAACCACTTTAAAACTTTACCTATTCACATAATGATCATAATAAATGTGATGCCACTTCTTCAAATTATTACATAAAACAACAGAATCATAACAGCAGTAGTCATACCAAGTAACAACTTAATTTGTAAACAGATCGATGCCGGAATGCAAATATTGGGGGGCTGGGGGTCCTCCCACATAAAATTTTGAATAAAGTAGATGTGATTTCCTGCATTTTGGTCTATTTTAACAAGTTGTTAAACATTACGTGCTTGTAAAAACAAAACAAACAAAAAAAATTTGTTGACCCCCCAAGCACCGGGCTCGCGGATCCTCGTGGCTCCAGGTTCCCCAGTTTGAGAACCACTGATTTATAAGACAGGAATATTTTATCAGCACACATGAATGTCCTCTGATGGAAAGCCCACTAATTTAACTTTTTTTTTTTTTTTTTTTCTGGATTATTAACATGAGCCAAAAAACACAAATCAAATTATTTGTTTGACTCGAGTGTCTTAAAGTTATTAAATTTGACCAGAAAGTGTTGTTATCGTAGCAAGTTTTTATTTCAGGTTAGGTGATGCAGATATTATTACAGTTTCTACATCATGTCCAAAAATCCATCAGTAAAATTTCTAGACTTTTTTTCGTGTCTGCAGAGCAAGTCAAGTGAGCTCCCCCTGCTGGAAGCTGAGGTACTGCAGGTCTTTGCCCCGCCCTTCGTTTCCAAGGAGACCAACTCAAGCCATGCCATTGGTCCAGCTTTCAGCCGTGTTCAGAGAAGGAGGAGCTTCATCAAAAAGGTTTTTTTTTTTTTGTTTGTTTATTTGTTTTTTTTATACACTAAAGTATAATATTTGATTTGCAGAAGTGTATTTGATTTGCAGAAGAAGCGAGATCGTGCTGTACAGTCACTGTCCAATGGAGAAACAAACAGTCGCGACGAGGCGACATCCGCGACAGAGGACATCAGCGTTCCAAAGGATCTGGACCTCATCGCTTTGCCACAACTGTGTTTTCCTGGTACAGTGTTTTTCATTTTTCATTCCACAGCAGATTGGTAATTTGTTTGGACTTCATTGTTTTTAAGCAGATCTCACACTTGGACAAATGTGTTCATCTTTAGATATTTTTAGTGCATATTTTACATTTCTTTACGTTGTATTGCAGGCTTTTAGGAACAAACTAAAGTCCCAGATCGGTCTTTTAAAGCATGTATTTTGTGCAACTGTAAATAGTTTTGCACAATCTTCTATTTCTATAAATGTGTGTTTTATTTCTTTGAAAATTAAGCTCTTTGCTTTTTTATGTAAGAAAATGCTTTCAAATGTCAAATCCCCTGTCATAGGTTGGACTAAATGTTCTGGTGGTGTTTCTTGAGGTTGATGTTTTTATGTTGAGTCTTGTTTTCTTTGACTAGGTGGTCTTCATTTGGCCAGTGAGCATAAAGAGGATCGTTATCACTTCCTGGTTTTCACTGACCTCTTTGGCAACCGAACCCATGGAGTTGTTGTGCAGTACTACAGAGCTGTTCAGGTACAAACGCGTACATTTAAACCATGTTGAAACAAATAAATTAAGTCTGTTTTTTCCTCATTAACCCTTTGCTTTGTCAGTCCTGCTTGGAAGGTGCTGTCCAGAACGGTCATCGGTGGAATTCATCGAAGTCTCGTCTCTATGTTCCCTTTTCTGTGTGCATCATCTCGAAGTTCCCTTATTACAATGCCCTGAAAGACTGTCTGTCATGGTAATAAGTTCTTTTAAACTCAAAGATGGTGGATAACTTGTATGTCATTATATTAAATAATACTTTCAAACCCTTGTTACACCTTTCTACTTGATTTTTTGGTCCTCCGATTCTTCAGTCTACTCGTCCAGTTACGCACTGCAAGACAAGATGACTTTGAGGAAACGATCAAAGAGTTTTCAGCCAAGTTGTCTCTCGTGCCTTTACCACCTCCTGGACAACTGCATGTGGTAAAACAACATTCCCTTTCCCTCCTCAGTCCAATGTTAATTTTAGTTTCTCTGTGTGATGGGTCTGATCGGTCTTTCTATTTCAGTCCTTTAGCCTTCGTCCTCTTCAAGTGGTTCTCCCATCCAGAGAAGATCAAGACAGCCCCATAATAGACATCAACCTTCATCTTCCACTCCTCTGTTTCACTCCCACAACATTGCTCCAGGTAATGAGGATAACAGAAAAGGCTGTTCTGTGACATATAGGACAATATAGTCACAAAATGTATTTCCTCTATTTTTCAGGTCCTCTCCTGCCTCCTCCAAGAACAGAGAATTGTATTATTCTCATCTAACTGGGCCAAACTCACCCTGGTTGCAGAGTCTCTGCTGTTTTATCTGCAGGTTAGTCCCAGGAACAAGATGTGAAATTCCATTTTTTGTGTTTTTGTTATTTTTGCAAGTATTCCCAAACACTATTTAACTTTTGTCTTAACATTTCTCCCAGCCGCTATCCTGGCAGCATCCGTATGTTCCTGTCTTGGCGAGAGGAATGCTGGACTTCCTCATGGCTCCTACCGCCTTCCTAATGGGTTGTCACATAAATCATTATGAAGAAGTTGCCGGTGTGAGTCAACAAGTGTAATTCAAAGTGTTTGATTAATGCTTGTCAGTGGTGGTCTACTGAAATGAGGTATTCCCAAGTCTAATTATAAAAAAGAGTAGGGAATTTTGACTTAATTAGATCAGATCTTGTGTTTTTTATTAGACTAGAGCAGTGGTTCCCAACCCTGGTCCCTGAGGAACACCATCCTGAATGTTTCAGTTGTTTCTCTGCTCCAGCACTCCTGAGTCAGTGATTTAATTACATCCTCAAGTTCTGCAGAAGTTGGTTAATCACCCATTCATTCAAATCATGTGCGTCAGAGCAGGGAAATGAGTAAAATATGCAGGATGGTGTTCCTCAAGGACCACAATTGGGAACCACTGGACTAGAGTGTTAATGTTACACATAACATTGTAAAATACAGTATTATATAAATGTTACAGCAACTGTTGTGTGTAAGAGTACAATTGTTTCTAGGAACATGCTTTTGCTATATATACATCTTATGTGCAACAATTTCTAGAATTGTGCCGCTCAAGTTGTTTGCATGTTGGAGTAGCTCTTTTGCAGCCATTCTGAGATTTTGCTTTTGGAAACTTTAATTTCTCTTTTTTTCTGGATGTGGATCGCTTTTTTCGGATTGTTGCTTCCTCTGGTGTCAGATGCTGTGCAGCTGGAAGGGATTTTACTGAAACCTTTTTTACTTTTGGACATTTGTTATGATGCGTAACCATAACAACAAAATGTTTTTCTACAACTGGGAATAGCTGATTAATATTTTAAAGCTCAAATATTACCTCAACTGCAGCCTCAATTCCCAAATGAATTGAAAAGGAGGTGCCGTGGATGCATTCCCATCTACTTGGTTGCGGTGCTTGAGTGCCTGACCTCTAAGATCTGGGAGGTGGCGGGAAACGCAGCTCATGACAGCGGGAGGACCGAGATCGTCCCCCGGCACCTGCAGTTAAGTTCGCGGTGATGAAGGGCTCGGCAGGCTGCTGGGAGAAATGGCCATCGCTCTGGGAGGAGTTCTCCCCGGCATTCAGGCAGTCCTACTGTCCAAGATGACCAAGAGGTCTGCTGGGTCTGGGTGGATGGATCGGCATCTGCAGTCAGTTTCTTAGGGTCTGCTGTGGGATGGTCCGTTACAATCCTTCCTGCCAAAGCCATCAGCATCCATAACAACTCTTTAATGAAGCCAGGATGATGAGCTACAACAGCTAATTTCTCTTTGGGATTAATAAAGTATTTTTGAATTGAATTGAATTTCCAGCATAAAGTGTTTTGTTTGTTTATTTGATTTAAGCTGACTTTCAGGATTCACAAATAACTGCTTTTTCCCATTTGTGTTCATCATTATTCATTGTGTCACTGAAGCTCAGCTTTTACAAAAGCTGTTTGTTCTTCACACTAAGCTCTTCTCTGTTAAAGCTGTGTTCGGATGAATTGTATTCATTGTACCACCATACGTGTCTTTTTTTATGTTTGTTTACAGGAGACAGAGGACCTAATCTTAGTGAATATTGATGAAGGCGTCGTCCAGTCTTCATGGTCTGAAACCATCAACCTGCCTGCCATCCCCCAGACTGCTGCGGAGTGCTTTATGTTAAGGTGACAGAAAGGACACAACTGGCTGTTTTCTACGTGTATTATGCAATAAAATTAAACAATTAAACACACCTTTGGCTTGTAAGTTAAAAATGCTATCTGTTGAAAATTACACAGAGTGAAATAGGTCAAGCCTTTATTTCTTGTAATTTTGATGATTAACACTATTTGTTTATTTTAATTGCTTTTTATTGTTGTATATTGCTGGCTGTACTCTATGTGTCGTCTGTCTAACACAGGTCTCTCTTGAAAATGAGTCCTCATGACTCAATGAGACTTCCTGTATAAATAAAGGTTGAATAAAAAAATGTGTTTTGGCTTGGTTTTCCAGGACTGAGTGTCTCGTACTTCACTACGACCTGGAGTTGTGCCACTTTGGAACGGGCACGGACGTCAACACGCTTCAATCCCACCGTCGAGGCTGGCAGAGAAATCTTAACTCACAGATACAAAACATCACCCTGGAGTTAGTGGTCAACATCTTTAGGTAATTCTCACCTAATGTCCTGTTTGTTATACCTGTGCAGTCTTGTATAAAAGTGTTTTTTAATCAAACTCTTAGTTACATTTGGCTCTGCTTTTTTTTTTTGTCAGAGGCGTTCAGGATTTTCTAAACCACGAACACAGAGTTTTTAACAGCGAGGAGTTTCTGAGAACGAGAGAACCTGAAGACCAGTTGTTTTACAAGAAGGTAAAGACGCACATTTTGAAACGAACTTAAAACACAGCAGGCCAGTGACTGCATGTTTCTCTGTGCTCTCATCCTTAGGTATTAGAAACGCATATATTTCACTCATTCCTGCGAGACAGGCTGAACAAGAAACGAGATGACTTCAGTCGAATGGAGCAGATGACACGTAACCAAGTGCAAAGGTAGGATGGTGCAACGTCCCAGTCGAAGGACAAAAGTACCCAGGCGAGAGGAACAAACTGCAAGTTATTTAACGTTAGTTTTCACACAGTTCTTGCAAGGTGACATTTGTGTTAAGTTGTCTAGGTTTTTCAGTTTTATGTGAATTTTTTACACTTATCACAAGACAGCTAGCAGTTAGCTATGATAGCTTCTTAAGCTGTCTGCTCTGTTACTGTTGGTTTCATAGGTGACAGATCATTAAGCTTCTTTCTGTTGTTCTACTTCTTCCACACTGAAATCATAAGATGAACTTAGTTTTACTGCTTCTGAGAATGCTTTGACTTCCCAAGTCCGATAGAATTGAAGAAATTAGCAACAGTCATTGTAAATAATCATTGTCCATATAAATAGTATTTCAAAAATAAACTCTTGTTTAAATGAACTATAAAACTCCGCTTGCTTGCTGCTCCCTTGGTGTGTTCTTATAAAATGTCCTTGTGCAGTTTTTTGTTGATTTTCTTCACAGAAAATGCAAGGTTTCACACTTTATGTCAAAAGAGTTCCCAAACCATGACACTCACTCATTTGTGCTTTATAGTTTAAAGACTTTTTGTTGTGTTTGTGTTTAGTTACATTTTGGCCTTCAGGTTGTCTATTATTTTTCTACAGAGAAAAGTCAAAGAAGAGTTGAAAGCAGAATTTTGATCTGCAACATGAGGCACTGGGGGTGCAGCTGGTGTCTTATCTTTTATCACAGTCTTTATTCAGTGTTTTGGTGTGTAATGGTCACAAGATCAAGGATTTTAGCAAATTAAGACATTTCTGAAGGTGTTTAGCCTTTTTACTTTGAATTATTTTTCTTTAGTGTAATTTTTGTAGAATGCTGGCTTTGTCTTAGGGAGGGTTAATGTTTAGAAATACATTTGTCATCTTTCATCTTCCATGCCTTTTTTTAAGTGCCCTTCAAAGAAGATATAAAAGGTGGTGTGATTTTTCAGTAGGGCCGAATGTCAGTAACCAGCTTGTTTACACTTTTATTAGAACAATAGCTACCTGTAAGACTAATTCTTGCATTAAGTAATTAATTAACATAAAAGTGGTATTTTGTTTTAAACCATATTTAAATCATCATAGGAATAGTACTTTGTTTTACTTAGGTTATATGTACATATACCATAGTTTTAGTCCTGAATAAACTGCTCTCTTCCTCACTGTCACCACAAATCATAATTTCATACTCTTCCTCCAAACCCTTTTCCTTACAGGAATCGTGCGCTGACCGAGTCTCCCCGTCGGCCTCCGATGTCTGAACTGTCCCGCAGTGGCTACAGCCGCTACACCAGCCCTGACGGTAGACTGAGCAAAAGGCTGGGAGCCAGTCTGCCAAACCTGGATCAACCCATCAATGAGTCTGTGACAATGCCAGCCATCAACTCCAACAGATCACACTCCGTTCGGAACGCAACTCCTAATATCGGTCAGTGCCAGTTAAGAAACACAGGACTTTAAATATGAATACCACTTCATTTCTATATCAATTCATTTCTCATCAGGGTTGAAGTTTCCACAGAAGGTTGTGAAGGTTTTTCGTCTCCCAGAGTTCCCCCCGCCGCTGGCTTATCAATATGTCCAGAACTATTACACTGACATGGTTTCTTCACTGAAGAAGGCTATTGATACTACGTCATCAAGTGAATCTGCTCTGTTGGCCAGGTAATCTGCAGTTAGGGCAGAAACTACCCCTAATGTACAAAAAAAGACATTTCTTTTTTTTTTTTTTTTTTTTTTTGCCTGGTTCTTATTAGTAGCAGCACAGTTAGTAGAGCTGTCGCCTCTCAGCAAAAAGGTGGCAGGAAGGAATCCTGTCCAGGGACCTATCTGGGTGGAGTTTCCATGTTCCTTCCATGCATGCATGGGTTTTTTCTGGGTACTCTGGTTTCCTCCTATAGATAAAAACATGCATATTGGGCTAATTGGTAACTTCATGTGCCCACCTCTCTTTATCAGCGATTGCTCACAACCCTAGAAAAAAAGAAGCGGGTACAGTAGTCCCTCGTTTATCGCGGGGGATCCGTACCCTGAAGGCTCACGATAAGTGAAAAACCACAAAGTAAGAATAGTAGTACAAGTAATAAGTAGTAGTTTATTTTATTATTTATAGGTGTTTTAAACCCTTCCCATACTCTTTCAATATTCTAAACAATGTTTCTAAACTCTAAACGCTCTAAAAGAGCACAGAATGTCATGATTTCAGCTCCCTGCCTCCTCTGCTCTTTGCCACCTGCGAGCACTCTTGGCCACGCCCACGTCTCCGCTCTGCAAACATGAGCTGTTTAACTACAGCAGGATGTTTATCCTGCAGCAGTAAGGGCTGCACAAAGCTGCAGGAGGAAGCTTTTTCTGCAGCTCTGGGCTGCACAAATGTGCAGCAGGTGCTAAATAATTAGAAATAATTTATTTTAAATAAAACTTCCATGACGATCGTGCGGCTCATCCATCAATCAGCCAATTGTGTGTCATGTCCAATCTTATTTTGAAAAACGGCAACAGAGCGAGTCCACGATAAACGAACCGCGAAGTAGCGAGGGACTACTGTATAAGAAAATGGATGGCTGGTTCTTATTAGTGTTTTTAATGTAATAAATAATAAAGTTTTGCTGATTATTTTTGGTCAAACAAGCAAAATTTGAATGCAAGATAAAACACCAAACGTAAGAAAGAGCATTACCGGTAATATAATGTAAATCAAATTTTGAAAGACTTTTTTTTTTTTTTTTGCAGTGTGCTCTTTCATGCTGTAACTTTTTATTTACATAGCACGATCAGCATAGATTTCTTGCACTATTTCATGCTTTTCTGTCAAATGTTTTGCTTCTTTATTGTTTTAGTGAAGCCTTTTTGTAGAAAAACAGGTTATTGCTCGTCAGGTTTTTTTTGTTGACGTCATGCCTTGATGTTATTTTTGTTGTGGTTCAGCCGTTCTGAATAAACTCTTTGGACAAGTGCTTTTAAAGATTGCCTTTAACCTTGCAATGTGTCACAAACATTTAACACTTAACATTTTCATCTATTCATCTCCCTGTTCAGATACCATTATCTACGTGGTTTGGTGAACACTGTGTCCAACAAGCGTCTTGATGCGTTGGAGGATTTCCAGAGTCTTTACAAAACCGACGCAGAAATCTTCCCTTCTCAGATGGTTAAGTCTTTGGTTGAATCTCTCCCAGATGTTGAACGTTTACAGGTCAGTTCAGAACATCACGATCACAGCCACAATTAATTTGCATAATGTTTTTCTAGCTATAAACTTCAAACCTAAACTATATTCTATAGCATTTCTACACTGAGGTGTACAACATTGATTAAATATATTATTAAATGTTATTAGGGACACTGTGTAGTCAGTTGTTTCAGCATCAGTCAGTTTAACCAACAGCAGCACAATAATTATGAATGTCTATATCTTTCCACAGGCGGAAAGACGACCAGAGATCAGAAGCCTTATCAGTCGTGTTAAGAGAGAACAGGAGCGGGAGCGTGCAGTCAAGGGCAGCAAGCTGGAGGAAGGTGCCATAAAGCACTTCCAGCTACCAAAAAAATACATGCTGTTAGAGGAATTTGTGAAATGTGTCCAGGAGTCGGGGATTGTAAAAGACCAAGGAACCATTCATAGACTGTTTGATGCTCTAACTGTTGGTAAGTAGTGAGTTTATACAGTATTTTAGTTGTGCATGTGTGTTTCGTTTGGTGCTAAGCTTTAGATTTGCTAAATGAATTCAGTTCATTTATGTAGCTCCGTCACAGCAGAAGTCGTCTCAGGGCACTGTACGAAAACATTCACATACATTATAAACACCAATTGGCAAAAGTTCTCTATCTAAGGAAGCCAGCAGATTTGAATCTTCACTTTGTCACCGTCTCCCATCCTGAGCAAGCACAAAGGCAACAGTGGAAAGGAAAAACTCCCTTTTAACAGGAAGAAACCTCCAGCAGAACCAGACTCGGGACGAGCGGCCATCTGCTTTGACCGCCTGGGGTTTGAGAGAACAGGAAGGAGAAACAAACAAACACGCAGAATGGCAGGTCCAGGTGGACTTTCTATTGGAAGAAAGACACAAAAAAACATGTTAAGATAGAAATAGTTACAAATACAAACAGGTAGAGTAGAGCAAGTACTGGTAAAGACAGCAGCAGATTGAATAAATGCTGTCAATTTGTCCTCCAGCAGTCTAAACCTTTAGGAGCATAACTAAGGGATAACTGTAAACCCAAGCTGACCCTAACTATATAGGATTTATCAAAAAGGAAAGACTTAAGCCTACAAACAATGTGTCAGCCTCACGGACAGAAACTGGAAGTTGGTTCCATAAGAGAGGAGCCTGATAACTGAAAGATCTTCCTTCTGTTTTGTTTTTGGAAACTCTAGGAACCACAAGTAAACCTGCAGTCTGAGAGTGAAGTGCTCTGTTAGGAAAGTATGGAACAAATAAGATCTGTATTATAAGATGGAGCTAGGTTGTTGAGGGCTTTGTATGTTAGAAATATTTTGAATTAATTTCTGGATTTGACAGGGAGCCAATGGAGAGAAGCTAAAACTGGATATAGATGATATCTCCTACAAATGCTCATTAAAACTCTGGCAGCAGCATTTTGGATTAACTATAAAGGTTTAAAATATTTTCTTGGGCCCTCAGATAATAAACGGTTGCAATAGTCCAGCCTAGATGTGATAAATGCATGGAATCTCACAGACTTGTGACCACAGCTCAGGCTCCAAGATGTTGAGCCAGCTGCTTCAGCAAACACTCCCGCTCGTGTGCATGACTACTTCCTTTACCACTCCTTTCTTTTTCTGGGCAAACATTTATTCCTTGGGTTAATCATTGCTTCGCTCCTTCTGACGAGTCTCTCGTGCACCTTTTTATATGTAACTAGGGCTTCACGTGACCTTTGTCCAACATTGGTGTTTGTGGTCACATTTCACAGGTTCTGCAAGATGTTCTCACTTCAAAATAAACCTGATGTTGTTTTATAATTAGCTTGACAGTATTTCACATGAAGCAAGTTGTCCATGTTCATTCTTTGTAACCAAGTTTGCAAAAAAGCAAGAAATCAATTTTTTTGCATTGAAATCAGAAGAAAAGTAATTTTTTCTTATAAATTTCAGCAAGGATTTTTTTTTTTTCTCAAACTGCGTGTTTTAACCTTCAACTGTAGGAAGTAAGATTAGCGTGAGAGCTTATCTTTCGTTTCACATTATGTTGTTTTTTCCATTATGTTGGCTGTAATGACGAGCAAAGTTTTTCTTTCCACTTGACCAGAGTTGAATGAAGAGATGGGGATTAGTATTAACCTCCATGGTTGGAATAATGCAGTCAGATATAAGAGTTCTTCGTCATAAAGTTAAAAACAAAACATATTGATAGTCTTTTCTTTGTGTAGTAATTAGATCATTATTTTTTGTTAAAACAAAGTGTTGATCAGTTGTGCAAATATGACATAATTTTCAATGACATCAGCTTTGCATGTATAAATAAAGTCAGAAAATGGCCTGTTGCTTCATATAAACCAGGAAAATTTAGCAAATGATCTATTTCCTTTTACAGAAATTTCTATGTGTAACTAATTATAATTCATTAGGAAACCAATTAAACAAAAAGTTCTGATTGGTCCCATTTTCTTCACCACATTTCTTAGTTTCTCAAAATACAAGTCATCCTTTTTATGGAGCAGAAAAAAATGGCTACGTCTAATGTCTGTTCAGCCTTAACATCATGACCTCTGAAAGCTATACTAACTAGGATTATTATCTTTTTATAACAAAATGTTATTTTGGGAAAATCTTTATCCTGGCATTTACTTCTGCCTCCTACCTCAACATTTAACCACACTCAAAGCTGCAGAATATTTCTACAGTAACTCATTTTCAGTTCACCTTTATTTAACCAGATATAAACACAAATAACAAATTCTTATTTACAGTGTTGGCCTGGCAACACCAACAGGCAGTTGGGTCAAACAGTTGGGTCAAAGGAAGAGAAACAATACAGTTGGGTAAAACGATAAAATTTAGTTGTCAATAACAAACAAGGAAATCACAAATTACATTAACAACAGTTCATTGTCAAAGTTAAACGACAACATTTCTAAGCATGAAAACATTTGCAAGTATCTTTAAAACTAGAAAAGTAGACAAATAATCAATCAACCTTTATTTAGACAGGTAAATCCCATTGAGCCTCGAGGACTCATTTACAAGAGAGACCTGATTTCAACAAAGAAAGATGACAACAATGGACAACAGCAACAACAATAAACAAATAAACAAACAAATAAGCTTGTCAGACCCACAGTTTTTTTTTGAAGCAGATTCCAGTGAGATGGAGCAGCAGAGGCAAAGGCCAAAGAGCCAAAGCGAGACTTGGTCTTTAGAGTTGTTAACAACAAATACTGAGAGGATCGGCTGTTATACCTTAAAACTACTGCTAGTTGCAATAGATTAGTTAAATATGGAGGTGACTAACCCAGCAATGTTTTATAAATGATGGTAAACCAATGAATTTCATGACAAGTATGTAGAGAAGACCATTTCACAAGAGAGTAGAGGTGACGATGTGTTCTATAAGGAGTATTTGTACCAAAGCCAATAGCGGAGTGGTAAATTGTGTCCAGCTTACAAAGGATGCCCCTTACAAGCATGTCTGTAAATTATGTCTCCATAATCCAACAGAGGTAGAATGTTTTTTTTTCATGCATTTTGCTGACATTGTAAATGAAAATCGACTTTTATATAGATAACCAAGTCTTGCTTTAACCTTCGATTGCAAAACATTAACATGATGTGAAAAGGACAGAGCACCATCAATCCAAATTCCCAAATATTTATAAACTGTTACCTTTTCTATAATATCACCATTTACAGTTGTGAAGTCCGTCGAGGTGGGTATGGTTCCTCCTCCATGACCAAACCACATAGTTTTAGTTTTCTTGGCATTTAAGGACAAATTTAAATCGGAAAAGGCCTGCTGGATTTCAAGAAAACCACATGTAGGGGACTTCACAACCTCATGTGGAGTAGAACCAAAAGCATAAAATAGTTCAATTCAATTCATTTTATTTATGTAGCACCAAGTCACAACAGAAGTCATCTCAGGACACTGAACAGAAACATTCATATATAAAAATAATTAACATTATTTATCTGAGGAGCAGACTGCTTTGAGTTTAACTCCATTACAGCCACTTCTTGAGCAAGCATGAAGGCGACAGTGGAAAGAAAAACTCCTTCATGAGGAAGAAACCTTTAGCAGAACCAGACTCAGGACAAGCGGCCATCTGCTTCAACCGTCTGGGTTTGGTAGGAACAGATACACAATGGTAGGTCAAGAATCACGTTGACAGAAATATTATCAAATGAAAACTATTCAATTTTAGCAAATCATTTAAGGAAATGAGGTCAATTTGTCCTCCAGTAGTCTAAGCTTAAAACAGCATAACAAGCCGACCCTAACTATAGGATTTATCAAAAATTAAAGTCTTAAGTCCAGTCTTAAAACTGGACAATGTGTCAGCCACACGGACAGAAACTGGAAGTTGGTTCCACAAGAGGAGTCTGATAACTGAAAGATCTTCCTTCCATTCTGCTTTTGGAAACTCTAGTAACCGTAAGTAAATCTGCAGTCTGAGAGCAAAGTGCTCTGTTAGGAAAATATGGAACAATAAGATCTGTAATATGAGATGGAGCTAGGTTGTTGAGGGCTTTGTATGCTAGATGTAAGATTTTGAATTAAATTTTGAACTTGACAGGGAACCAATGGAGAGAAGCTAAAACTGAAGAGATATGATCTCTCCTACTAACTCCAGTTAAGACTCTGGCCGCAGAAATTTGGATTAACTGAAGACTTTTTAAAGAAGTATTTGGACATCCAGAGAACAAATAAACTAAACAAAATAAATAAATAAAATGGTGTCATCGGCATATAAATGAATGGAGGTCTCACTAACAGAATGTGAGATGTCATTTATAAATATGGAGAAAAGAGTTGCACCAAGAATGGAGCCTTGGGGTACACCTGACACCTCCTCATAGAAGGTGACAATAAATAGAATGTCTCAAAGAATCCAACAAGAAGTCTGGGGTGCTTACTCTGCCTCAAACTTGTAAAATGAAAAGGAAAAAAAAAATCCTTTGAGATTTGATTGATGTCATTTTACCCCCAAACCCTTAGGACCCGAAAGTTCAACAATGTGACGGTATGAATCACACCAAGACACCCTCGGGTGTTCCTTTATCACGCCTTGATTTGTTAGGGCTGTTTAGATGGCAAAAATGGGACCTGCTCAATATTAAACTGACCTATTTACAATTCATGACTGTTGTTGTGTCCAACATATTCACACACAACAAAATAAAATAAAGTTACAGAAGAAAAGGTAAAAGTAGGGTTTTTCTGGAATGTAACCAAACAGGTTTCTTTTGAATTTTCTTTTAGTTAAAAAGTCAACACAGTGAAGAATACGTTAAAAAAAGAATTTATTCTGATTAAATCATTGTCACAGATGGAAACTTTCAGGTTTTCCATTCAGTAAAACCAGTGATACCACATGATGTCTTTATCTGAAGTCAAAACACTTTTGTTACTCTAAAGACGTATATAGAATTTAATGACTGACTTTATCAGTAAGATATGACTGATTAGGGGTTTATCTTGAAAGGAAGCTAGGGTGTGAGCATGCACACATGCAGTGTTGCAATATAAAAAGCTGCTCGCTCTGCAGGCATGCAGGCACATTAGGTCACTTGAAAAGCATAAAAAAGAAGGTCCGGTCCCCAACCAGCCTGTGTTTGTTTGTGAGAATGTGTGAAACTGAGTTGTTCAAACAAGATTTCCCTCTCAAGCGCAGAATGAGGTATTTGAAAACTGCAAAAACTTCTTTTTTGTGACTGTGTGTTGCAGGCCATCAGAAGCAGGTTGGTCCAGATTTATTCCGAGTGTTTTACACCATTTGGAAAGAGACTGAGGCTGAGGCTCAGGAGGTTTGTTCATTCAACTCTAGTATTTTTAACTTGACGGTGCATTTATTAATGAATGATCACAATAAGTTTTAAGCCTCTGTTCATATTTTTGTCTGTTTGTTATGAATCCAATGTAATGACACGTTTTTTGTTGGATTTGAAGGTCTGTCTGCCAGCGTCTGTGTTGGAGCACATCGATGCAACCGAGTGCGTCTTTAAGCTTTCATCTTCGGTGAAAACGAGTCGTGGCGTGGGGAAGATAGCCATGACACAACGACGGCTTTTCTTGCTGACAGATGGAAGACCGGGATATGTTGAGGTGGCACAATACAGAGATTTAGAGGTGAACTAAGACAAAAAAAACATGTTGTTGTACCGTGTAATCAGAAATAATAAAGCACTTAATGACTATATTAATTTTCATCTTTCCTTGCAGGAGGTGAAGGTTTCCTCTGCTCCTTTGCTGCTTCTACGAATCCCCAGCTTGAAGCTTCGGGTTGTAGGAAGAAAGGAGGCATTCGAGGCTAATTTGAAAACGGAGACTGAGCTTTGGCACCTGATGGTCAAAGAAATGTGGGCTGGCCGACTCATCGCCGACCAACACAAGGTAAAGCAGTGATTGAGGACGGGGTGTGTGCAGTAATGCAAATCTGTGCAGGGATAGGGATGACGTAAAACTCATTCAATTGCCTTTATGACCTTGTTTTTATCTGTCTGTGGATATGCATTCCTGTCTGTGAACTTAGATGAACTTGTGGGTGTGGTTAAAGGTCCAAGAGGCATAAATAACCAAAAATATGCTCACTTGAGCAAAACAGGGTTTGCTTTGTGAAGCCAGAAGATGTAACTCCAACTCCTCTGTTTCACACTTGCAATGTTCCCCTTTTCATCCTCTTCACAAAAATGTTTAATTAGCTTTCAGTTCCCCTTTATCTGTTGTTCACACCAACTAAAAGTATAATATATACATATCCATGGTTTCACAAGCTGGGTGAGCAGCACTGATTTACAATTACTGCAACAAGTTGCTCTTTATTTAAAGGCCTGATTAGATTTATTAAGTTTCTGAAATGCTTAACACGTCATACTGTTGTTAAAACGTGTCTACAAAGGAGTTTTTGTATTCTAAACCATGTACCGGTAATTAATTTGCACATTATTTGATAAATTATTTGTCTTTTTTTTTTTTCCAGCATTAAATTTAATAAATTTACTGTTCCAGTAAGTTAAAAGTTAAGAATTTTTTTTAATGGTTATATCGTAGTAAACTTTTAAGTTTTGTACTTATAATCAAATAAAATCGTTTTCTGTTGTTTTTACTATGCAATTTATTTTACTGATAAATCTTTTTGAAGTTTTTTATATATATATATATATATATATATATTGGGTCCCTTTATGTAAGATTTATACAATTTTGTGAGGTCTTAATGTGTGTTTTTCTTTGATTAAAGACTATTCAGTTGTTTGAGTTCACAGTTCTGCTCATAGCTGCAGGCTTCTACTGTAGGGTACGTCTCTAGAACCACAATGTACCTTGTGTGAGATAATAAACTTCCAGGCCTTACCTTGATTCAAAGAAAACCAGACTTCTTTTTTTTTTATTCTTGAGGATGTGACTCTTCTTATCGATGATGAGCTTCCTCATGTGAGAAAATTGAAAACATCTTCTGGGATGAGAAACAAAAATAAGTTCATGTACTTTTTGATTTAGCCATCAAAGATGTTCTCATCCTGAATGAGCTGAGAATCAACACCAGCAGGCCTGAGCTCCTTGAACTGGTTGGGAAAACTCTAAACCACAGATGCAAACACTGGAGTTACGTAACGGTCTAATGGTGGGGATGAATCATAGTTCTTTGTCTTTTCAGAGTCGTGGTCACTGACTTATAACTCTGTTGTTTTAAGTGAAAGAACACATTTTGATTTAGTTTACACTTTCAGCAGCTCAAAGTTCTCAGCTGTAGATGTAGAAAAAGAATTTTAACCTGTGAAGTCTGCTTTAAAAATGGCTACGGTACTAATTTATTTATTTATTTTTCTAAAATTAATCCTAGAGGTAAAGTCTGTATTGAGCAATAATCAGTTGCACAATAAATCAGTCTTCACTTTAAATATTTACGGTATGTTAATGTTCCATATTTTGTTGTATATATAAATGTTTGTGTTTAAATTAGTGTTGTCAGTCGATAAAAAAAAAAAAAAATCAGATTAATCGCACTCTGGGGCTGTGATTAATCTGATTAATCACTATGCTTAACTTTGCGAGCTCGAAATGTAAAATGTTGAAGAAAATGTTAAATTGTCTCAAACCAAACCGTTTTCCAGGTTTTCATACTCGGCAAGGTTTACAGAAGTCATTTTGTTTTAAACATTAATTTATAAACGTTAACTCAAACGTCTCATTAAATGTCATCTATGGGATCAAAACATGGGTTAATCTGCATTATGTAATATTAACGAGTTAATCGTTTTAGATTAACCGCATGCGTTAACGCATTAACGTTAACAGCCCTAGTTTAAATTCGAACTATTTTGCCATTACAGTTTATTTATTTGTATATTTTTCTTCTTCTAAACAAATAAATTAAAAATATTACCATGTAATTCCTCTTTGAAAGTAGATTTTAAAAACTTTAGTGACTCTTTCATGATTTATGTATGGGTCAGTATTTTACTTTTGCTTTGGTTTGGATGTTTCCTCCCTACCAGCCTGCCATGTTTTGTAAGGATGCTGAGGACGAGCGGCCTTTTCTCCCCTTCTAACAGATCTAAACCTGCTTTCTGTCCAGGATCCTCAGTACATGCAGCAGGCTCTGACCAACGCCTTGTTGATGGATGCTGTTGTGGGCTGCCTTCAGAGCAGCAAGGCCATCTATGCTGCTTCAAAGCTGGCTCAGTTTGACCGCATCAAGATGGAAGGTAGGGAATCGCTTATAAAGATGATATTCATCTTGTTAGGGTTTCTTTTTTTAATTTTTATTATTTTATGGGATTTTTTTTCCCCTTTTATATTTGTGCAGTCATTATTATTACTTTTGTCTCAAGTTCCGATGATGATTCCCAAAACGACTGCAGAGATGCTGAAGCATAAAATAAATCTTTCTGTGGAACTCGCTGCACCTCAGGCTGTGGATGTCCTTTTGTACACACCAGGTACAACACACACACACACACACACACACACACACACACACACACACACACA